GATACACTATCTCCACCACTCGACGGATTACCGATATTTGTTAATCGTTTACCCTGCACATCATAATCTCCATTGCTATCAAGCTTGAATCCGATACCAGGCCGCCCTTGTATAAAACTCATGGATTTGCTCCTTTTACGACCAAATTTATCGATAGTTTCATAAGACATCTTCTACCTGCGGCGACTATATTGGTACTGGCTAGACCATCGACAAGTAACGGACTTTATCAATCCTTAATATATTATGATGTTATATATATATATATATATACATTAATAACATTAATAAACGATGCCTTCTTCGCGCAACTCCTCTATTATTGACATTATCTCATTATCGTGTCCAGTGTGGCCAGCCATTTTAGAACCCCACAGTAGTCGGAGGCGGTCAACCAGCTCTTTTGCTTCATTCCAATAAGCATACTCTTTGTGTTGTTTACTCACGACTTTTCTGTATGGTAATGATTTGCTCATTCCTCTACCACCTTTAACTTCATTTAACAGGAGTTGACTCCTCATTTTATGCGGTGTGCCGATTAATGGCTTTATGACTAGCTGATATTTCTTCCTCGCACTATTATTCAAACCTTCTCTGATGTCATAATTCTTATATGGCGCTCGTGTAGTCTCCAACAAAGTGGTGTATATTCTTTTATCTTGATCATCGATAGTTCTTGGCACATGTTTCATAAAGATCAAATCGTATAATCCAGTTGTTGCTGGAAACGCTACGCTTCTCTTATTACCGCGCCATAATTCGATTTGGTCTGCAGGAAATCGGATTTCCATATTACCCATTTTCAATTCCCCTGTTTTGGAATCGATGTGAACGCCATATGTTGTATCATAATTCGAGTTATTTTCTTTCAAATTCCTCAAATGCTCCATTATTTTGCCCTGTAAGTCGCTCGCGGTTGTTCCATCTACAGAAGGATACACTGTAATATCACTGCTTGAAATTTGAGACGAAGATGTTGGTGGTGTTTCCAATAGAGTTGTATACTTAGGTCCTCCGTTATGAGGCGATGATGGTAGCGGTTGAAAGCTATTGCTGAAATTCCCAGACTCCCCATGTTTCTTGAACGGCTTCGTCGCTACAGCATTCGCCTCATTACTCGATATTGGTGTGGAATAATATGTCGGGTGTGCTATTGTCAACGTTGAAGGTTTGCTATAACTCTTCGGAGTAGCTGCTGGCATTAGATTTTGCTTGGCTACTGCCGCCGTTGCTGCCGCGGTGATAACCTTCAATGGTTTTGTCAGCGGCTCATAAGCTTTTTCTAACATCATTTGGTTACTGGTGAGTTCGCTCTTGAGACTTTTAAATTTATTCCTTACCGCATCGGTTGCTTCAACAAGTTGGCGTTTGAGGTGTATTTCTGAAGCGATTTCACTACTAGGTGTGCTCATTGTGCTATCCAAAGGTTGAATGAAGTCCATGCAGTTGCTGTTTTAGGGGTATATGAAGCAGTCGAACCCTTTCCTATAACGGCCCTCATGAATTTCACTATCCTTATCTATAACGAGAAACCCGTATCTATCTGTCCAACTTTGTGCACACATTTCTTGAAATTGTTTAAATGTTACATCTGGAGATACATGATCGGAATAAATGTGGTGTAGATTCATATCATCCTGCCTAAACATGATTATGAAGTTGGAATTATCGCGAATCAGCTGTTTCGGCACTCTCGAATACGTTTGTGCTAGATAAAAGCAATCCACATTTTTATGGCGCCCCATTGAGAAATATGATCTGATTACATCTTGTTTTTCACATATCACATCGTCGAATATGAAAATACTGTGTGGCTTCGCATCTTCCGGTTCAACAATGTCCACATTATTACTATATGTATAAAACCCCAGTCCCTTTATCGGTTCCAATACTTTCCGCAAGTACTCATACTTGGGTTGATACAACGATTTTGAATAGAGATAAACATTGGCGAATCGTAAACCATTATCGTTGGTGAGGAGGGATATCATAACATTCGTTTTGCCGCAATTTGATGGGCCGATAATGAGACTGCGTATAGTATTAGGTAGTAGGAATCCATGCCGACGTTGTGTAATTATACCATTTCCTAACCCTACTTTTTCATCGAAGTTGTCAACTCGCAATGTTTCTTGCTGCTGAACAATCTGCATTGTATGATGGTCAAATGCTATATAATGAATCGCAAACTCTGTGAATGTCATTTATATTATGAAGCTGAAGCGATACACATCGGCAAGCGATAACGGTGAAAAAAGTTTTCGAGGAAAGAGGACTGGCAGAGGATTTGTTAATACTTTAATTAATAAATTACCGGTCGAATTACATATTCCCGGCGGCTATCAGTATTGTGGTCCTGGAACAAAGTTACAGAAACGATTATCTCGAGGTGATCCAGGCATTAACCAATTAGATAGAGCGTGCAAGGAACACGATATCGCATATTTCAAGCATCCGAACGATTTATCTGCAAGGCATTCTGCCGATAAGGAATTGGAAGAATCCGCGTGGAAACGTGTTAAATCAAAGGACGCATCTGCAGGAGAGAGGGCCGCATCTTGGCTTGTTACCAATATAATGAAGGGAAAGAGGCGTTTTGGTATGGGATGCAGCAGCGGAGTGAAGAAACGTCGAGTGTCGAGGAAGAAGAAGAATACTACCAAGAGTGGGAGAAAAATTGCTTTTGGGTCCGGCATAGTGCACAAAGTTCGCAATGTGTTGCGACAAGTGGGAAAGAAGGGGGCACTCGCCAAAAACTTGGCCAAGACTTCTCTTATGGCGATTGGAGCTGCTAGAAAATTCGTCAAGATGGCTGGTGGAAAGAATAATATCCGAACACCTCGCATTATACCAATTCCTAAAGTTGGAGGAATTCTTCCACTCATACCCATTTTTGCGGGATTATCGGCATTGGGGAGTTTGGCTGCAGGTAGTGCTGGTATAGCTCGAGCTATTAATTCAGCTAAAGAGGGTAGGGAGCAACTCTCTGAAGCGAATCGTCATAATAGACATTTGGAGGCGATCGCTCTAGGAAAGATCGGTAAAGGAGTATATTTGAAGCCGTACCGAAAAGGACTGGGCATTTACTTGAAGCCGCAAAGTTCAAAAAACTAGCAGGGTTACCTCGAAGGGCGTTGACGGACATCGATTTATCACAATACATAGAGAAAATGGGCGTTCCAAACTTTTGAGGTATATTTATGAGAGATAATCTACCAAATTCTCCACCGCGCCACATAGAATCAGCCATTCTGAATCTCGATGGTATTCGAGGTAAAGGGACACATTGGGTTGCTTATAAAAAACGTGGTGGGGTAGTCGAATATTATGATAGTTATGGCGATTTGCCGCCACCCGAAGAGTTGGTGAAATATTTAAGGAGGGGATCAAAAGCTATCAAAATCGTATATAACTATGACCGTCAACAGGATTACAACACAGTCTGGTGTGGTCATTTGTGCTTGAAATTTCTCTCGTCGAAGAGTGGAAACTACGTATTATAATATGGATAGAAAAAGCATCAAACAAATGGGGCACGCATTATTGGCTTACTCGAGATTACGATCTTTGCTGAAGATGAGTGAGAAACAGCTCGCTGATATGCCGAAAGAGGTTTTAATCGGATGCGCTTCACATGAGATAGCTCTAGTGTGGGATAAATTACCTGAACAATTACGCAACGATCAAGATGTATCAAAATATCGATTTTGTGAGGAGCACCACGAACACCGCCGCCAAGAGGATAGTGACCATTCCAGCGCAGATGTCAATGATGGGCCGATACCAAGAAAAATATTATGCTGCTTTTGTCAAATAGAAGATGTAAATGTGGCAACTAACAATAAATTCGATATTAATGCTTCGCCGAACGAAAACAAGAACATTCTTCATTGTTGCAGGCAGCAATAAGGTTGATACTTCTTACTACTGCTGCTGTATACACTGAAGCTTGTTGTTTGGTTTTTGCTGTGTTTGCTTTTCCAATTGTAAAAAGTTATGTCGCAAACATTCACCATTTCTGGAGATCGCAGTATCTTGAGTGCAGATTTTTTTCCACCAATCGAACTCGATGTGAGGAATACTTACGGCTTGGGGTTACACGGTTTCTATTCATACAACTCTATACTCAATATAGATGAGACAAATAACAAATTAGGTATTTGGTTCGAAGAGGGAAGCGTTGTTCTTCAGATACCACCAGGCGCCTATGAGATAGATGAAATCAATAGAGCAATACAAAAGGCTATAGAGAGTTGGACTCCGCTGAATGGGCGAAATATTGATGATGTATTCTCCCTTCGAGCTAACAATAATACGCTCAAATGTGAACTCAAGTCCGAAATTATGTTAATTTTGAGTATTAACGATTCTATAGCCAAAGTCTTGGGCTTTGAACCGAAATATTACAAGCCCAATGTTTTGCATGAATCCACTTTACCTGTGAACATCATAAAGGTACGATTGATACGGGTTGATTGTAATATCACTACTGGAGCGTACCTCAATGGTGAGGAGGTTCACACGCTTTACGAGTTCGATGTCGATGTGGAGCCTGGATACAAACTCTCAAAGGAGCCGAAAAATATTATATATCTACCAATCAGTCCGACAGGGCGTCAGTCTATCGACAACATCACACTGAGAATTTTGGATGATAATGACCGATTAGTTGACTTTCGCGGAGAGAAGATTATAGTAAAATTGGAATTGAAACAGCTCGATTAATTATTACAACGGTTTGGAAAAATGGGTTTCTGCTTCGGAAACCAATCAAAACGTGTATCTCTCGCTGCAAACCCCACTATTCTACACACTACCGTTAAGAAGAAGTGTAAACGGGGTAGAGGATTCATTCAAAGACAGCTCACCGGTCAGGTAGGACGTCATAGATTATCTGCGAGCGATATAAATTTTTTGGAATCTATTGGTCTGACAGTACGACAAAGACGACGACGAACGAGTAGAAATTAGTGAACAATGGTTGTCACAAGTTCTACTAGCTTACAATTGGAGGTGTTTGATGAACCAATTTTCGATCATTCACTAATTAGCCTACATGAGCATACATACAAACCATATGGTTCACCATCATTCAAGAATTCTGATGAAATCAGGATAGCTGTCAACTTTCAAGATTTGATACTCGATATTTCTGATAGCTACATATATATTGAGGGGAAATTCACACCAGATGATGCAACGAAATCCTGCTATCTATCTAACAATACCTTAGCCTTCCTCTTCGATGAAATTCGTTATGAAATGGGTGGCGAACAAGTATGTATGATTCGAAAACCAGGCATTACTACCACAATGAAGAGCATGATCTCTTATGGAGATTCTAACGCTAAATTTCTTGAAACAGTCGGATGGGGAATTGATAGCGAAAATCAGCCAATTCTAGACAAATCTAGTCACATATTCAGTGGAAAACTACCGCTAAAATATTTAATGGGGTTCGCTGAGGATTATAATAAAGGTATATTGAATGTGAAACAGGAGCTGATACTCATCATAGCTCGATCATTCAAAAACTGCTATATAGGAGAAGTTGATGCCAGTGTGGAGATTAACAAAATCGAATGGAAGATAGGACATATTATGCCATCGGATAAGCAGAGGTTGAAATTACTGAACCGTCTCAATAAAAGTTCTACAGCAAAAGTGAAAATTGCATACAGGATGTGGGATCTGTATGAATTACCGTCAATTCGTGAAACATCTTCAGACATTTGGGCTGTTAAAACCACCAATAGTCTCGAGCGACCAAGGTACATTATCATAGGCTTCCAAAATTCTGGTAACACAGATAATAGATCCAAGGATACCACCCAATTCATTCATGCGGGAGTCAACAATATTCGACTGTATTTGAATTCGGAAGTTTACCCTTATGAACGGTGGAATTTGGATTTTGGAAAAAAGTTAGATGCTGTAGCCTATTATGCATACGATAATTTCCAACGAAGCTATTATGGTAAAGACATGAGCGAACCAATGATGAGTATTGAGGAGTTTAGAAAAAATCCGTTATTCATCATAGACTGCAGCCATCAACCGGACACATTGAAATCTTCAACTGTCGATATCAAGTTGGAGTTTGAGACACGCCAATCGAAATTTCCATCTAATACCAAGGTATATGCGCTCATTCTTCACGATGCATTTTTGACATATAGCGCACTAGATGGTTCAATACAGTTGGGTGCTCCTTGAATACACTCTACAGATCTGGAGCAAATTCTAGCCTCCGTCCACCTCCACCACCACCGCCACAGCCGACCATGAGCATTCGAAGCCTATAATTGTATTAGATCAGTTTTTTCATTATTATTATTATGTTCATTATTATTTATTATCATCATGATTATTATTATTATTATTATTATTATTATCGACACATGTATCTGCACTAAATTGAATAAAAGTAAACAAATGTTTTACAAATCATCGTTTTTATTTCTTGATTGATAGACAATGAAAAATGCGAGCTCATCATCATCATTCCATAATTTATATATATACATGCAAATGATAATAGTATGATTGAAGCATCTCTTAGCAATATCATCATTTCGATTCTTCTTCTCCTTCCTCCTCGTTGTCGGATGATTCTGGAATTACCCCCAAGTTGTACTTCCGTATCAGGCTGTTTGGTAGGAAATCAAAAATTTCATACAGAAATTGGTCCAAGTCCTCTCCCACCATTGCTTCAAGAAATTCCTCCAAAGTGAAGCTACCATATTCGAACCGGGCGCATAACATATAACCCTTTCTATATTGTTCGGCTTGTTTACAGAGTCGTTCAACTTGTTCTCGATCGAAGCATATGCTCAAATCATAATTTGTCGCATGCATTGCATCACGTGACAAATCAGAGAACTGACATTTCAACCTGCTCACTGCTGATTTGATGTCTTCCGCTGCCGGCCAGAATTGACTAGAATAATACATCCACATGTTGGGGAACAGTAGTCTGTAAATGATAAAAAAAAGTTTGGTAATGATGAGATTATTTGGGAGATTTGTCTTTCATTGAATTCTTTTTGGAACCTAATTTATTACTTACCGCAAACGGTACGATCTGCGTTAGTGGCTTGTGTTAATGTAATAATAATTATCATATAATTTTTAAACCCTTTTCACTAAACTATACTAAAAAAACCTATCAGAAATAATTAAGTAGAATAATTCCGAATTAATTTTGCTTGAAGTCAAACTTGATGAGAGCCCTCGTTTTTGCACCTACATATAATGGCTCACTCTGGCCCAAATATGCTAGAGTATAAAGACCATTTGAAGAATTCATCTCATCAATGTCGCTGTCACTCAGCAACTCTACAACTCTTTTGGGCAACCAACATTTCAGACTAGCCTCAGTTTCTTCATCGTACAATATTACAGAACCGCTCCTACCAAACCTGGTTCCACATAGTGATATTTTCTTGACCACATAGCTTTTATTCAAGAGTAGTGATGAGATAACAGTTTGCTTGATAATATCATTGTCTTCGTTAATTCGATTATTTATCGTTAACAAATCAATTTTAGGAGCTGCCATTATAAATTCTTCTTTGTTGAGTGAAAAGAGGTGTAAAAAGTATATAAATAATTTTTACTTACATATAACAGTTCACGTACACTTTTATTGCAAACACTTTATATTCCCAATCAATTTGAGCGGGTATATTTTTTATGTGCGAGTTGGTGGTGCGTATCTTCCGTATTATTAGGAGAACTATGCTCTCGCAGACGATACAATGATGTATTTATAGGAACTGGGATATGTGACGTAACACAGCACCCCACTTCTACCAAAACGACCTCGACCAGCCTACTCCCATTTTCAAGGTCGCACACGCTTTCACCTCCCTCTCCAAGGTCGAGGTCTCTCTCTCTCTACAACTCAAGGTCACTCGTTCCCAAGGTCACATATGCGAAGGTTACTCGTACAACCTTCCTTCAAGGTCACTTTGTCTCGCCCTCAAGGTCACCTCCGCGTTCAAGGGCGTGCTGTCGACACTTCACTATACGAGGTTACTCCCGCCCAAGGTCAGACCCGTTCAAGGTCACTCCCGCCCAAGGTCACTCCCGCCCAAGGTCACTCCGCCCAAGGTCGGAGGACGGTGACCTAGGGCGGAGAGCCAGAACCGGCCAATCTTTACTACTAATCGAGTCCAACCAAGATATAATTTTGTCTCAAGATAAATGCCCCACTTGGTTTATGGTTTTCCTGAATTAAAAATACAAATACCTGTACATATTTTCCACAGTCTGTAATAAAATTAAATAATTGTGACTTTAATTACGGACTTGAATATATTTGGAAACTAATTGAATTTGTTGGATATAACGAATGTATCGATATCAAAGCTCGAGATATTATATATATCAAAGAATCACTCACCAACGTTCAACATGATCCAGACTGAATGATTGGAATAGATTCAATGTGGAACCAAGTTCTCCACAATTTTGCGTTATCAAAGCAACTACATTCATGGCACATATTCAAATGAGCTGATAATTAATTCTGGCTCGATGTTTATTCTATGCATGTGATATATATTCCTCATCCTAGAGTAAAATATTATGAATATAATCCATAGACCTATTATTATCCACTAACATAATATAGGGATTATGAGACTCTTTAGGTGAATTCGGTTAGTTCATTTCACAACTAGAATAGGTACTGAAGTGCATACTATATAATGTCTTACATTACATTAGTTGATCAATAGTACATATCACTGAACTACTATACAGATCGAGAACATAAAGACTTTTCATTGTGCTCGTTCTAATTTATCTGGTTGCTATTTCGATATACATACGCGTTAAAAATTCTTTAAAAAAAGTACAATCTAACGGATTGTCTTTTTTATTCATTATTGAATGTCTTCAAATTGGTCGTTTCAGTCTACTGATAGAACAAATTCAGAAACAAAATTTTCCAAAACTACAATTTTGGGAGGGTTTTTCATGAAAATAAGCGCTCTCAAAAGTATAGGTCATGAAACCTTTCTCGTGTGGAATCTTAGTATTGATTTATTCGAATAGATATATTTTGGATGTGATATTGATAAAGTAATCCCGGAAATTGTGAAAATTGATATCAAGGTGAGATTCTTGACGTATGAATTGCTGCCAAATGTCTGGCGTAGGCTGTTACCTCGAGAAATCTTGAAACTCTATCCAGAACACCAATATAGAGGGTGTCCCATGATTAGCCAGCCAAACTGCATCAGCGGCTTCCACCAAGTTCCAATGAACATGAGTCAAAAAATGGCACCTGAAGGAAATCTCCTGAATATGTCCGAAACGCCATGTTATAAAATAATGCAATTTGGTATACCCATCAATGGGTCAATTTCGTCAATTTCACCTCGAATTATGGAAATATACACAGAAAAAAGATGCTCTCGTTTTGTATTTGATTTAAAAATATTGTTACATCTCATCACATATGATGTAACGTTATCAATGTTTAAATCATAGTGGCTATAAGAAATCGACAACTTTTTTTTCACCAAAACGATTTCATACAGGCGCGTAAAATAGGAAGATGATAGAAACATTGAAAATACATAATATGCGAGCTGTAATAATATGTTTCAATCAATTTTACTCGGCAATGCTACATCTGATCGATACGGAACAAGAGCACATCTTTTTTTGTAAAGATGTGTAGATTTCCATAATCCTAGCTTGAATTGTCGAAATATCTGCACACACAAAATTTCGAGTAATATTTAATGTAGTTTACACTCCTGAATGAAATTTTCGAATGCTTTTATTTTCACTGCATTAGGCATATAACAAGTTCTTGTACCGCATTGTATCATTTCATCACATGCATGGCGTAAATATTGAGGTGATATCATCTTCAGAAGCCTCCTCAGGAGCCTTTTTTCAACTCATTCATGGAATGGAACTCATTGGAACTCTACTCCCAATTCTTGGTTGAAGAAGCTGCTGATGGAGTATATGCATCAGGCTAATTGAGGAACACCTGAAACCACATGATAGCTTAGGATATTGATTCCTCATCAAGGCACATCAGTTCTTGTTCTCCTTTTATCACTGGACTATTGAAGCATCAAGAAAAAAATGCATCGGAAAAATCATCTTGTCATACTGGGATTGAGACTGACAAATCCATAAGATTCGTCAAGACTCATGAATTCGAGGATAATGAACCCAATTCCCCATGGTCCTCCTAAGTCTCAGGAATAGCCTAAAGAGCGGTCATTGTACTGGACGACAAAGCAAATCCCAGACTGAATGGTTCCACAAAGGATCCTTAATCGAAATCTGAACGAAAAGCGTATACAATTATTTGACAGTTTTATACAGGGTGTATCTAAATAACACCGAAAAAATTCAATTAAGCCTCCATAACCGATTGATTTGATATGATCCCACATTTCAGGATTTCTGAAGATCACTAAACATTATATATATTATATATACCTATATTTCACACATCATGTATCCATATTTTTGGAATGAAAGTTGCCTCGAATATTCTCGTTATTCAGATGAAAAAAAGTTGATTTTACCTGTCTTTCAATGGACTCAACACATTGTGGTCAGTTTAGAAATGTAGTTTATTTCTATTCCAAACTTTCAAGGAATAATTATTCTGAATGAAGTGAACATATTTACCAATTATATTTATTGAAGCGGCTAGACGTTTGTTTACAAGAAAATATGACAATGAACATGTACTTAAAAATCCGATCTGATTGCTCAAAAACATTAGTGTTTTTTCACCATCAACCTAAGATATTCGAAATCGAACTATATACGAGGTTTTCATGATGTTGTGAAACATTCCAACTCTACATAAATAAAGTGATAATAATGTGGATGCACATCAGGCAATGAAAGAGTAATAATCTCTAATTTGTAAATACTGGCATTTTTGTGTCAACAATATGATGATCAACTGTCAGTTCTTAATTTTTGTCTTGATTATTCAATTCTCAGTTTTTACAGTCATGAGTTTGACCGGTTCATGATCCTAATCTACGAGCGAAGCAAAACGGTCGATTTGTTTGGAAATTATGTCAATTATATATATTTTTGTGAAAAAAATGGCATGAACACCTAACAATAAAAGGCTTTCCATT